GTGTCACTGCACGGTTGTTTTGAAACACGTTGAAGCCCTTCGGAATCACACCAACTATCGCATCAGTACCCTCCGTTGCTCGCAGTTCTCTCTCTCTCTGTAAATACCATGTGTTTGTGTGTGAGAGTGAAAAAGAGAGAGCAAAGAGCCCTGAGGAGAGATGGCTTACCTCCTGCAGATCACCTCCCAGGGTCACAGTAGGAGGCAGATTAAGTTACAGCCAGCCTCAGAGGGGGTCACACAAAAAGTGTTCACACACACACACACACACACACACACACACACACACACACACATTCTCTCAGTCTCCGAACCCCTCACAGAAAACAAAATATTACACAATCCGATTTCAGACCCTGCAACATAATCATCTTATGCTGCACAGTTTTGATATTCTGTGATGCTTTCTGTTGGCGCTGCACCATCAGATTGAGCAGATTGAACCTATCCTCAGATCAGGCTGTGGATCAATCAGTTTGAGGCAGGGTAAAGGGTCAGCGCTGATCCATGTGAGCCTAGCCTCGGAGCATGGAGGTGTTGAAACACATCCCTTCTTCTCCGACCTGATGCCCCCCTGCCCTCCCTCACCCATTGGCCAACACCTCTTCACCCCCAAACACATACACCCCATACCTCATCAAAGGGACTTTGAGCGGTGTCCTAATGCAGTGGGGTGGATGTGGGACTCGGGTGGGAAAGGGTTATGCAGGGGAATAGGTGATGGGGGTTGCTAAAGACGACACACGCACAAACCCTCTCTTTCAGGACTCTTCTTCCTCCTCAACTTCCTCCTCCCTTCATCCTCACCTTCGTATATCCTCACTGTGGCCCCTTCCGTCATCCTCTCCTCTCTCTCTCTCCCGTTCAGCTGCCGGTGCCTGTGTTTACTCTGTTAGAGGGAAAGAGAGGGCCCAGAGAAGGGACAATGCCGTCTTTCAGAGAGACTGTCGACCCCACGGCTGAGCAAGGAAGTCTGCATGGGGGCCAGCCAACACCCCTTCCACAAACTTCACAGCCATCCGCCACTGAGCTTTACACACACTCACATATTACGAAGGCATGCATACACAGACGACACCATACTCCGTCCTTCTCTGTATCTCTCAGTCGGCCTTTTCTTCTCTTTGTCTCACGTTTCCCGCAAACCCCCTCTCAGTGACCGTGGCTGTTTGGAGGATGTAGTCAAAATCCTGTAACTTCAGTCCAAAATCCACACACTGAGTCACTTCCCAGCCAGTCTCTACTACTTCTCCACCAAGAAATAATTATGAGGGTGGGTTGAGGTGAAATGCAGCAGAGGGGACTGATTTTCTCAGAAGCTGCACTGGCCAACTCCGCTGGGAACACATTAGTGCGGTATGGACTGCTTTGGGGTGCTGTGGCAGGTATTATAGATATCTTATGACCAGTTGAGTTTCTCGGAAGTCAGAGAAAGTTTGAGGTTAATCTCCTTTTTGTCATTTGACTTGTCTGTTTCTTGGCTAAAAAACGTCTTTGAGAACGCACACATAGAGATGTGCAGAACAGTGTAAGTCCATCAAAACACAAAATGCTTTATTCACCGGATGTTTTCAGCTACCTTGCCCGTCTAAAGTTCTCATATACAATTAATAGATCAGTCATGTGACATACCATCTACACAAATTATCAACATCCCTTTCTTTTTTTTTCAACTATCTTTTTGTTTTTGAGAACAAGGTACAGAAAGACAGTTATATAAAAGGACAGTACTTTTGGATTTTTCACAGAACACATATATAAATAAACAAATACAACCCCCCCACCCTACAACATCCCTTTCTTAAAAAAATACTGTGTACAAAATATTATTACTCTTAGTTGGTACAAAAATTACAACAGAAACACAAATAACTATAAATATTCAGATTTTTTTATAATATTCTTTGGCAAATGCAACCTTTCGTCTTTCCAGTAATGGAATTAATTCTAAAAAAGGTTGAATATAACAAACAAAATTATTTCAACAACATTTTCTGCTTTCTCAAAACACTATGCTCAAATCCCCCCCTCAGCATTTAACATTTATGAATAATTAATTTCAAAGTCAATCTGTGTTTGACCTTAACACATCCATCCATGAACTGAATTTCCAATTGTTCTCATTTAAACTGGAACCGGTGATGTTTGAAAACTGAGTTAAATGATATAGACAAATGGATTAATCAGCTCATCTTTTCGGATTTACTAGTTCGACATGAGTCAGTAATAGTAATAAAATGCTAGAAACAGGTTCACTTTATTGGAAACAACAAATATTTACACGATGACACATGACATACTAATTTGCTAATTTAAAAGACCATTTCTCCTCCTACAACCTGCAACAAGCTGAATAATACAACAATGCTCTTTATTATATGAGATAAAGAACAAATGTTGTTTGAGCGGGAGTGGGATAGCTATGGAGGCCGGCTTAAAAAAACTGTAAAAGATGAGCCATACAATCCATAACATAGGTATAGTAATGGTTTGCAAGTGGAGGAGCCGCCTGAGAAGAGCTCTTGTGTGTGGAGACCCCTTTAGTGTCTCTCTGCTGGTCTCACTGTGAGAGATGGAGGATCACATGATTTGAAGTGCCAAATTGATTTATGGATCCATATGGATCCAAAAGTTTCATATCTGTTTCTCATCGTGTTTTATAGCAGGGATTATAGAACTGATGGTAGGCCGGTTTTGTGTTTGTCCCCATAGTGGATGAGAGTAGGATTTGTAGAAAGGTTAAGCTGATTCCTGGTCTGTGCCTCAGGGTGAGGGCTTTTACTCAGTTAAAGTGGATGACAGATGATTTTCTGCTATTTTAGCCAAACAATAAAGCCAAAACTCTTGGCAGCCTGTATGGCAGGAGTTACAGTAAGTTAGTCATACCCACCCAGTCCAGAGGAAAGAGAGAGAGAGAGAGACAAACAGAGATGTGGTATTAACCGCAGCTCATTCTAAAAGAGGATCATATCCGTTCCGACAGATCTAAACATTTTCACGGCTAATGACAGTGTTTGCCCACATAAAAAACTCTACACACATAAATGATAATTAGAGCTACTGCCAGTAAAACTTCTCCTTTATCAGTACACAATTGGGTTGAACTGGTAGAAATAATTCATTAAGTATGTGTCGAGGTATACAATACTGATGTGGTTAAATCGCTCTGTTTAGAAAAGAAAAGAGTCATTGGTCCCTTCTTAGTGCAATTCCAATGTAATTTTGAAACCTGAAGTGTTGATGCATTTGATTGTGTTACTGCCTGACTGCAGCTTGTTGGAAATGCCTTTTCTAATTCTAGCATGTAGTTCTTTTAAACAACCTTCTCCTAGCACGGAGCATGCTTCTGAGGGGTTTTCCTGCTCTTTGTGTTTTAAATTATCACCAGTGTTAAGTTATTCGGCCGGTGGGTCATGTGCTTGTCAGTGTGGTCTATAATCAGATAAAAACCAAAGGTTATTTGACCTAAATGTGTCTTTATGTCTTGTGAGGAACATGAGTGTGTTTGTGTGTATATATATAAATGCAGCACAGACAGATCTCACAGTTAATGCTACAGTATGTTCCTATGTTCGCATCAGTAAGTTTGTGTATCATCATCCTCTTATCTATGGCTGATTGAGTCTGTACACCCCCCACCCCCTCTAGCTGTGTGTGTGTGTGTGTAGTGTGTGTGTGTGGGGGCGTGGTTGTGCGTGTGCGTGTGTGTGAGCTGGTGGCCATCCCTTGTTGGGCTGGTGAACCTGGTGACCTCTCTGCTCCGTGCCTCCCAGACACAAGGGCTTCTCATGTGGCCCCTGGCCAGTTGCTCTCAAAGCCCACCATTCACTACCAACCGTGGCTTCTGTGAGTGTGTGTGTGTGTGCTAGGGAGAGGGAGGAAGGGTGAATTTGTTGAAATTACAGTTTGATTAATTGTGTGTGTGTGTGTGTGTGTGTGTGTCTGTAAGTATGACTGTGTATGGTGTACGCTCAACATGCACACAGAGAGCTGTTCTACATGAACTCGAGCAGGAATATAGGACACCCTGCAACTCTCTCTGTGTGTGTGTGTCTGTGTGAGAGAGAGCCTGGTGAGAAGGAGCATTGAACCTTAATACATTGTGCTGAATGGAGAGCTTGGCTATAAACCAGCAGTATGGTACTGGCACTGCCTATATATGCGAATCAGTACATGCTGGATAAAGAAGAATAGACTCAGCATTTATTTACATTTAAGTTAATGATTGTTTCTGATGCTTCAATCTTGATTAACAGGGTTCAATTGGATATTTGGTTGTGTAGGTGTTTGCTAAATACTTTGTGCGGTACGAAACAGTGATGCTGGGTCAGCCTGGTGGTATAGAAAGACTACAACAGGAACTCAATATGACAGCTAGATGAAGCGGCCTGCCCACAACCCTCAGGCTGGGTCCAGAGGTCAGTGTGTTTAGAGGAGGGAGGAGGTGGACGGAGTGGGTGCAGCTGGACTTGAAGGCCTAGGGGGTTGCCGGTGGGTCTCAAAGGTCCATGGGGTCTGAAGGTGCACACGGTGGGGGGTGGGGGGTTTGATGTGACCGGGTGCAAGGGCCAGTAACTGGCCAAGGGGTGTGGTGAAGCAGGGCTGGCGGTGAGGGTGACCATCTGGATTGGATTGTAGACATTCCTCAGGAAGAGTGTGTGAGTAAAGGTCAGTGTGGAAAGAGAGGAGGGGGTCACTCAGATCTCTACGTGTGTGTGTGTTTATTTTTCTTTGGCTTACTCAGTGTTTCAGTTTTACGATTGTGGTCGGTTTGCCATTGTTAGAGAGTATTTCTTACCCAGTGGGATTGTGGAATGTGAGATACTTTCAACAACATTCACATGGGAAATATTGCAGGTGTGAGAATCTGTCTTCTGCAGTCTGTCACTGTTTCACACTGGATTGCAGCTTTTCATTGTATGTGTGGTTATATGAAAACCAGGCTATTCTTCATTGCCCCCACTCGGCGTAACTCTGCCTGTCTGTGACTGTTTGTGCAGGTGGGAGGTCAGCTAGCTGCAGCCATGCTGTCGCTAGACGAGCCCCTGGACCTGAAGCTCCCTCGGCGGGCCAATGGGAGGGACAGAGGGGCGCGCTCACCCCCCCTCTCCTCACTGCACCCCAAGCGAGCCCGCCAGCTCCGCATGGCAGATGATGGCACCGCAGTGATAGAGCCGGCCTCGCCAGCATCTCCGCACACAGGTAAGTGACAACAAAACAAGCCTAAGACTTGACAGTCTTGATAGAGGCTCTGTTAGGCAGTACTTTGGCACGGTGGTGCCAAATCAATCATTAGGATTTATCCTACCATGAATATCTGTACAAAATACTGGAGGGCAAGCCATCCAGTAGTTGTTGAAATATCTAAGACTGACCCAAAGTGGTGGACTGACTCTCTGAGCAACATTGCCATCCCTAGAGCAAATGGGACAGAGACCCATATCAGATCCCCCAGGTGAGAGCGCACCTTAACAGGTGTGTGTTTGTTTTTCTTAGGTGTGCAGGTAGTCCCTCATGATCGAACCGACACCCCCACCCCCCCTGCAGTGGACCTGAGCATGTCTCCCTCCTCCCGCCACACCCCCAGCTCTCCAGAAATGACCAATGGCAACTATGTCCCCTCAGGGGTGAGTATTATTGAGCTAAAACACACACACACACACACACACATACAAACCTACACACCAGTACAGGTATTCCACTTTAGCTTTTACCAGATTTTTTTGGGCAACCAATACCTCTATTATTTCCCCTTGCTCTGTCATACTTTCTTTTCATCTCTGAGTTGTTGAAAGGATAAACACTGTCTTCCAGTGAAGTTAGTGAGAGGCCAACACTTTCCTGTCTGCAGCGGTGAGTGACTCAGCCTGCTGGGGTCAGCAAATCAGGAACAACATCGGGTTGTGTCACACTCTCCATAAGGGAATCAGGCTATGCAAGGGGTGGGAGGCCTGTGTGTGGGTTTGTGTGTGTGGGTGTGTGAGAGAGGAGGGGGTAGTTCTTATCAAACACCTCTTGTGTCCCCAACAAGTGCCTCTGTCTGTGCAAGTTGCACTCAGCGGCCCCACTGGCATGACGTGTGTGTGTGTGTGCGCCTGTGTGTATGCGTGTGTGCGTATAATCCGATTTAAGACAAGGTACAGCCATGCAGACCTCACGCCGCATAATTCAATTCCCTCCCAATTGAATTGAGACACGCTGGCTGGGAGCATTCAGCCGCCCCTCGTCCCATGGAGACCTACATAGCCCCCGACCCGACCATTATACACACCCTACACTTTACTTATCCCCTGTGGACACAGATAGGACGCTCTCTCCCCCACTTACTCTCTCTCTCTCATACACAAAATGAAGCGCCTCTTATAGAGGAACAGCTGCACACACTCACACTCACATGTTCTCTCCCCTACAGCATCTCACAAAGCAGCTCACATAGTTTTGCATGCAGAGGCAGAGCTCAGCGCAGGGGATTGGTCTCATTTTATGAAATTTGTCACATATACATTTCTGAAATAGCTGAAGACGATGAGACAGCAACAGGATTGTGATCCATTTGCACCCTTGTACTCTCCCACTCTCTCTCTTCGTCCATACTCTCACAAGACACAGCTTGACACAATTTATGTGTCCCTTATTCTAAATTCCACTTTTCATCCTGACTAAGTTACTCTGTGTGTGAGCTGTTGCATTAGCTCTTTGAGCCCCAGCTGAGGTTCAGTGAATCTTACAGCTCTCATGCAGCGCTCAGGGATGTAGGGAGGTTTTGTAGCACACAGCGGGTGACTACAAGAGAACAAGTGAAGTGTTTTTTTGAAGGGAAAGACAAAGATCGGCAGTTCTGTACTCTATTGAGCAAAAGAATGACTGTTGTTTCTATCAAGTATTTTCTCAGCGAGTCCATCAGTATTTATTTGTGTCATTAGTTAGTTGAGTTCATACTGCCGACTACCTTTAGACAGTCAGAACTGAAGCTAAACTTGTGCTTGCTTCTTTCTTATGTGTGCAGTGGATTAATAACCCTGTTGCTCTTTTTTTCTCTTTCTGGTTATCAGAATTCTCACATCTCACAAGCCTTTCAGTTTTTTGTGCCAATCGGAGCTGGGGCGGGACTTCACCTGCCATCCTCCATGTTCATTGGCCAGACGAGCGACAAGAGAGCCTCTCCTGACCTCTCAGCGGATGAACAACTGGCCTGCCGCTGGAAGAAGGTAAGTAAAGGAGACCCATTTTATGATTCTGCTGCAGCCAGATCAAAGCTTTATCGGCACAACAATTCATTTGAAATGCTGAATGTTTTCCCTCCTCCAGTGCCATCTGCTCTTTGACTCCCTGCAAGACCTGGTGGATCATGTCAATGACTTCCATGTCAAACCTGAAAAGGATTCTGGATACTGCTGCCACTGGGAGGGCTGCGCTCGCAAAGGGAGGGGTTTCAATGCTCGGTGAGAAAATCAGATACTTGGGTAATTTAGGGGAGAATTCAAGAGGAAGCTACTAGAATGAACTTGTTTGTGTGACTGCAGGTACAAGATGCTCATCCACATCCGCACTCACACTAACGAGAAGCCCCACCGCTGTCCCACCTGCAATAAGAGCTTCTCACGCTTGGAGAACCTCAAGATACACAACCGGTCACACACAGGTCAGTGGTGGAGCGAAATGGAGCACAAATGACAAAATGTGTTTGCTATAAAATTGAGACGTACAGAGTTTTATATTTAAAAAATGCTTGTCCTTTTGTGTCAAAGCTAAAATCAATACGTTTTCTTAATTCCTGTAAAGTAAAATTGGATCGTTTCTCCTCACTGCAGGTGAAAAGCCCTACATTTGTCCTTACGAGGGTTGCAACAAGCGTTACTCCAACTCCAGCGACCGCTTCAAGCACACACGCACACACTATGTGGACAAGCCCTACTACTGTAAAATGGTGGGCTGTCTGAAGCGCTACACAGACCCCAGCTCTCTCCGCAAGCACATCAAGGCCCACGGCCACTTTGTGGCTCAGGAGCATGGCTCCCCAGGCGGGGTGGGCTCCCTGCTAAAGGGGAGTCAAAGCGAAGTGCTTGCTAGCGCAGTGGGAAAGGATTCAGAGCTGTCTTATGTGAGTGCAGCCCACATTATCATCCCAGGGGCGGCGGCCGCCCTCCTGGGAGGCCATGCTCTGCAGGGTCTTGGTGGTGCCCTGCCCCTGTCCCCGCTCAGTCCTCGGCCCCTGGACCTCAGCACACTAGGTTGCCCCAGCTCACCTCCAGGCAGCATGGGATCCATCCTGTCCTTCAATGGCTCCCCGCTGGGCCTGGCCAAGTCCTCTCTGCTCTCTGGAGCATTCCCCTCCTCGGCCCTGGGCCTGCCAATGGTGCCCATGTTGGGGGCCTCGTCTGAGCGCAGGGCGCAGAGCCAGCAGGCCAAGAAGAGCCTGGGGGAGGAGGAGGCCAAGAACGAGGTGACTGGGGGGGTCCTGAACCTCTCCACAGGAGGGTCTCATGATCCCCTGTCCTGGGTGGTCATCCCCCCAGGCACTGTGGTGCTCAAGCCAGCTGTGGTCAACTGACACACACACACACACATTCCAGAAGAGCTCAGGGGGTCGGAATGGGAGGGTGAACGCCATAGTGAGGGTACAGGCGGTCAAAGGTGATAAGGATCGGCTCGCACAATCAAATCCAGGCAATGCATTTCAGAGAGAGGTTGGAAAAGGAGAAAACTATAGAGAAACTCATCAAAACCCTCAATCAGTGGAACAATAGATAACACTACACCTCACAATAATTAAGTATACAACGCAAGTATGATGGGAAACTAAATCTGGGGCCCGAGAACTCTGTTCAGGACCGTATATGGCTCCGTGTTTCTATCACAAGGCCTGGCAATGGGCTCCTCTCTGCTCTCTTATTTTATACTTTATTCATTCCTGTTTGCTGGTTCTGTGGACAGGGACCATGAACGTGACAGTCTTATTGCTCTGTGTTCTTACAAAAGTCCTGATATCATTGATAAGTATTTATATGACTGTACTTCATCGACAGTGTGCCTCCAGCTTAGCAGTGAGACAGATACAACCATGAAACTGAATGACGCACTCATAGTTAGGCAAACGTGCACGTAATAGGACGATTCTCCACAGTTGATTTTAAAGTTATGACCTATTTTTCGCAGGGCTGCTGTGATTAATATGATTCAGACAGGCTTGCCAAACCAAAGCAAGTGAACAGAAACTGTCTTGGATTTGTCCAGGAAAGGGCTGCAGCTTCAGCTCTGAGACAGTTCAATTAAACACAGCACTTAATAGTGTCAACTGGTTATAGTATTGAAACCTCAAAACTGCTGCTAACCTCTCAGCTCCCCCCGGTGTAACATAAACTGGGAGAGAGCACTTTTGACAATCTATCCCCAGATCGGGGAAGGTGACCAACAAGAATGTGTGCCAGGCGTGCAGACTAGGGGCTTTTAGGGCACAGAGCGAACTGAGGACTTGACACAGACAAATGGTGTTACATCACCTGGCAATGACCAATCATCACTTCCTCTTTTCCACAAGTGAAAATTAAGGCACTGGTGTGTCTGGCTCCCTCCTCTGGTAGGACATGATACACAACATCCCGCTTGCCATTTACAGAACTCGCACTGTTTCACTTCTGGATTGTCCAGCTGCTTTCCCGTAATTGAATCAACACAGCCAGTTTGTGTATGAAAGGGCCACTGTGGTGATAAACACTAGTGTCTTTTATTTTAAAAAAGTGACCCAACCCAAAACCAGCTGTGAAAAACAGGCGGTCGTCTAGTCGAAGCCCAACTTAGCCTAGTCGGTTTTTGTCCCTAGTTCAACAAGTCCTATGCTGTGCCAAAAATACCTGGAGAGGGGAAAGAGGGATGTACGTATTGTGCCACAGAGGGGGGTGTGATGCACTCAATGCCACATACAGCTGGACTGACTAGGAAGCCACACTATTGCAAACTGCCTCATTTTACTCTGTCCATAGGGGCAAAAAAAGAAAAGAGAGAAAAAAAAAGACTCATTTGACTTCTGGGAAAACTTTTCTCATGGTTCGATTAAGCAGTCAACATGCACTTACCACACATTATATTCCTTACATGTTTTATGAAATGTTACTGCCAAGTCATGGTTCCTTAAAAAAAATAGTTTGCTCTTATTCCATTTTCTGCAAGGGTCAGTTTTGCTGTGGGGTCCTTCCAGGCTTGTGTTGCTCAGTGCTAATGCATGTATGATGTTGACTGCCGTCTCCACGGAGGAGAGGTAGGGGAGCAGGAGAGGATCATCACAACACAAGGAACATTCCCTCAAGAGACTCCTCCATCTCTCCTCTTCTCTGCTTATGTTGGTGGTCTTACTTTTCCATTGCCCAGTCTTAGAAATAATCAGTTATTGCTGTTTTATATTGTCTTTTTTTTTTTTTTGCTGTTGTTCAGACGAAACATTTTCTCTGATGTTGAAGTTGCTTCTTGTGTTCTGCGACGGCTGCTCTGCACTCAGCTTTCTGCTGTCGAGGATGAGTCTTTTGAGGGGTTGAGGAGAAGACGAGAGGGGAGGTTTGGGTGGTCCTCTAGGGCAGTGGTTCCCAATCTCAGGGTTTGGGATAAATCTGAAGGGTCATAGATGATCAGATAGATAGATAGATCACATTGAGAGGAAAAGTTTACTTTTTGGGACATTTCTCCATAATATTGTACAGACACTATTGTTTCCCTCAGAATTAACTTAAACCTGAAGTTTTCATTTAGTGCTATCATCAGGTCAAAATTTTAATTTGTCCAATATTTTGCTTTATCACCAAATAACTGCAAAACTAATCATCTCTCATCAGCCTCATCTTTACTATGTGCAAAGTGCTAATTAGATCATGTTAGAATTATGATATGCTAGAATAAGGTGGTGAACCAGGTAAATTATTACCTGCCAAACATAAGCACGTGTTACTGCGGGCATGTTATGCTGATATTAGCATGTAGCTCAAAACACACAGAGTTGCTGGCATGGCTGTAGACTCTTAGTTACTCTAGTCTTGTTTCTTGTTAAATACTGAATATGGTTACTTGTTCAGGGCTGCAAAACCTTTAAAATTAAACAACCTAGGAAGGAGAAATCACTCTTTGGTTGAAGTGCTCACAACAATATGTCAAAACTAAGGCCATAAACTGTGCTTAGGGGTCATACGTACAGATGATATTACTTTATTTTAAGGGTTCACAAGCTGAAAAGATTGGAGACCACTGCTCTAGGGGGGACATATCGGGGTGTCCAGTGGACCAAAGGACATCACATTCCTCCATGACAATCACATTGATTTACTAAGGATCATTTAGAGAGGGTGTGGGCATAAAATTTGACTATCAATTATATTTGAGCTATTTAAGCTAACACTAAGATTTGCAAACTCAGCTTCCTTTGTTCTGACTTTTAATTTCCACAGTCAGGTAAAGGGAAACCATTAAGAACTAACACCCGACTGTGAAATGGTTTCTGGGAAAGCGTGAGAGCAAAGAGAGAAAGGATTGGCTGAATGAATAAATGAATGGACAGGGGGACAGGGAGAGATGAGGGGAGAGGCTGTGTGCCAACAGAGGAAAAGAAGCAGAGGATAGCTGCGCTGTGCAGCTGCCCTCCATCTGGCCATCTACCCAGCAAACGGCTCTCTCTGCTCTGAAGTCACTGGCTGTGCTGTGCCCAATGTGGCAGCCACTCACAGGCATACCAGCCTGCAGAAAAACTAGGCCAGTGAACTCTGTCTGCCCTCTGGGTTTTTTTTTTTACAGATTAAACCCAAAAAGCTCAACTCCCCCACCTCCCGGCCATCAAGGTTTTTTTTTTTTTGCACCAGAGATGGGGAAAAACAGGCAAACTAACAAGCCGCACTCACAGTAAACAAAAACAAATATAACCCTCTATGTCTGAGGACGAGCTCTGTGTCAGGCTGCCCACAGCCCTGAGAGGATTCAGTGCACAGATGAACTGCATACCTGTGTTTCTGCCTCTGTAATTCTTAGTCACCATTATCTCAGACATCCCCTCCCTTCCTAAAGACACACACACCCATCAGTGGCCTGTCTGTGGTTCCAGCCTCGATGAGTCTGTTGTTGTGAATGGACAATTCTGGCGTGTGATGTCATCAGAAACAGGTGTTAAGTAGGCTAGACACGGTTTCCGTGGCAACAGTGAAATCCACAGATGCAGCAGCACTCCTCCCTCCCTGTCTGTCTGTCTGTCTGTCTGTCTCTCCTCTGCAGGTCGAAGCCAGGGACAGAGACTCAGCCCGGCGGCAGAAAGCTGAATAATATGACACGGATCCTCCCAGGGTCCACAACCTTTCAATATTAAATAAGCTGTATGATCCATTAACCCTTTGAGCTCAGTCTGTAATAAACTGCACTTTTGTTCCCCTCATAGCGTGTGTAGATGCGGGGATGCTGCCACATCCTTTCTCAGTGTAAAGCGTTAATTCATCAGTTGTTTCTGTTTGGGAACGAAGAATAATTGTAAAAAAAAAAATCCTCCTCAGTTGCTAAAATGTCTGAATTTAAAGTCTTTTGTTTTTTTGTTATAATATAAAAGCGGTACTTGCTCCTGGAGATTTTAAAGTAACCCTCACTTAATGCTATGAAAAGTGGAACTGAAAATCCAGGGCACAAAATTTGTGTTAGCTAGCTAGGTCAGTGTCATTGTAAAGGGGTGCCATTGACTAAAGTGCCACAGGGTTGCACAAAGGGTTAATGATAAGACTAAGGCCATGCAAGGCCTGTTCCAAGTTATGTTTTTTGCACATTTGTGAGATATTATGTCAGTATTTTAATTTTTCCAAGTGCCTTTTTATTATAGGTAAAATATAGAAGTTATACACTATATGAAAAAAAATGATTATATGAAAATATATTTTTTCCTGGCATCATGTTCTGTGGTTGAACATGCAGAATTTTAGAGTTGTAAAAGTCTCCAATTGGTACAACATAGCGGTGTTCTCCTGTTTTAGAGGAATTTTATTACGATATTGATAATAATGTCAATGAAAAGAAAAATGTTTAATAAAGTTGTATTTGATACAACTTGTGTATTCATTTCTGTTCCAGGTGTACAATAAAATGATATATTATGGAAATGTACGTTTAATACTCAAGAAATCGTCCAGGTAAATGTGATTGTGCCCCTTTAGACAGACATGCGATGTAATAACAATTCACCTGAATAAAAACAATCATATCACCCTGATTAAAAGTCAACAAGCTGCACTTTCACTCACCGCATTCAGCTTTTCAGCAATTAAAAAATCAACAGTAGCTGAAATAAAGCATTTCTGCGTGGCTTTAGATCACTGCAAACCACATGTAACATTTCACATATGACTATAAAAAATAATAAGCACATATCCTTATGACAGGCTCATGTTTGTGCCTCCCTGTCTTTAAATGACACCCACTGCCCAAAAAAATGCCACAAAATCGAGGCTAAAGAAAAAGAGAAGGCTTTTATTAGGTTATAATTTACAGAGGATGGGGAGAGGAAAGTCAGGGCGAACATTGTTTCATACTTCATGTTTCCGTATTCTCTTGC